GCATCCATGTGTATTGTGAGGTTCAGCTGCTCATCGAGGATTGTTGCCAGTAACATTTAGCACTTAGACTCGACACTTCGTGGTGAACTCATCAAGTTTCTCAGAAACAACTTTTTTCCTGTAACATTGATCGCCCACAGTCTACTCTAATCATTTTCAGCAACATTCAACTCCTCCATTTTGTGCATGTGTCCCTGGGGAAATAAGTCCCTTAGTTGATACAGCATTTAATGTTACATCAGAACGGAGATGCATCTGAAGGAGGCCACACTATTTGCGTTAGGAAAAAGTATATTGGCCAAACCTTCAGGCATCCGTTTTGTTCCTCGAGGTACGTTCCGTTCACTGTATGTTTATAAGGACAGGGGTGGATTATCACCCCTGTTCGTTTTACGTGTGCATAGCTGTTGTGATCGTCCTCTCTGGCATGGCGCCGTTTAGACGTGAGACGGTTGCTGGACAGCGCTCCCAGAGGTGAACCAAAAGCGACAACGACACGCTAACCGTACTTGGAATTTTGCGGGGCCGACGTCTCCCCTCATGAAATTCTTTGAACTTACGCGCTCGACTGACAGCCTATGAGGGGCTGTTTACAATCAAAGTGGCTTAAGAAGGGTGGTTATCTGTGTACGTCTTTGCTCGTCGGAGTGCCGCAGACAATGGGCCAAGCGACTGAGGTCCATGTTCGAGTGCGTTCTCAAGTTCTCTGTCCTGCCGCCATGCCACCGTTTTTACAAACCGCTGCTTGCCTGGCGACATTGTGTCCTCACTGCAACGGATTACAGACTTGATTTCTACATAGAACCCAACATGTTTGTGCTGTGCTGTGTCGTGCGCCTGGTGCAGTGTTTTTGCAGTTTTCTCCCTCACCATGGTACGAACTGGGCATGCCTCCCCTCTCTTTTCCTGGGTTGGGAAGGAGGCGGTGTTTCACCCTCACTTTTCGAGGGCGGAGGTGAAGAGAACAATTTGATTGGACCATTCTGGGTTTCATTGTTTCCCCTACAAGGAATCCTGGGAAGACATGGACTTTAAAAACACGAGCGCAGAGACGCTTGAGGCATGCTACCAAAAACATTGTAGTATCATGCTACCTCGAACCTGTATATAATTTAGATGAACGCTCCTGTTAACCGCACCGGCTCTCTCCTCAACATCTCACCGGGACTTTGGCTGGCTCTGGTTTTATGGGCAGACCCTCGACTACTTCAATGGCTAACAGAATGAACAAGAGGAGACACACGAGTGAACTCCAAACAATGTTTACAAGACAAACAACTCTAACGAGGTGCACTACACATGAACATGCACGGATTTAAGCACACATAAACTAAACTGAAAGTCCTAACTGCAGAATGTCCGATCTAAGTTAAAAGATGGTGTTTCACGACTTGTGCACAACATAGTCAAGGAGGTGGCAGACCCTAGTCAAAAGCGAGCCCAGACATGCAGGTGGCACACGTTTCGCGTGCGGCATCGGCACAAAGACAAGGCCTTCGCCTAACCTCGCAGCCAAATACAGCCTTGCACTGTCCCAGGTAACAGCGGGGATCAAGGATCAGTTGTCCCTGTTTCATAGGCTGACAGCAGAAGCCACGCCCGGTATCGGTAGCCTCAGGCAGGTCGACTCCCGGGCCTTGCCAGCAACAGGCAACAGGCAGAGAAAGTTCCATGGACAAAGCCCTGGTCCGGTGTGTCCTGACTGGAGCCACAGCCGTCTGGGTCACCAGGCAAGCATGGCCAAGAGGATTTTGAACGACAGCGCCTTGACCTAGTGTGTCCTTCGGCTAGCTTCGGCTCACCCGTCTGCGCGTTCCACAAGCGCTTCTCATGCTTATCTACTTTTCCTTTTTTTGTTCTGTTCTCGTGCTGCCGCCACGTGTGCCACTTGCCCCAGGGTTGCTTTCTTCATGTTGCTGTCTTATTCACTGTCATAGGTCTGCACAAACCTTTCCAAATTCCACCGAAATGTCACGAACACATGAATGCCCTAATAAATTTGTCCCTTCACTACAGTGTTGCTATTGGTGTTCACGTGGCTAAGTATGTTGGTGCTGAATGCGACTCTCTGAGCATTGGCAACAGCGTCACCATGGCGGTGAGAGGTCGTAACATCTACTCTTCCTCCTGATCACGAGTACAGTGATCTGTAGTTGTATGTGCTAGTCTATAAACACCTTCAGGTGAATCTCCATTACGGAGTGTTCTCCTAATAGTGGGACTTTTTCCAACTATACGGGGCTTCCCTGGCACTTGCATTGCAAGCATCAGTAGTTCCTGCAAACCCCCCCAACCAGCACTTTCCTGGCAAGTCTGGCTGGGGGGCTGCTTGTGTTCCTGTTCTTAATATTCATGATGAGAACTGACTGACAATGATGCCAAGGAAAGTATGGGGGATGTTAAAAGTGGTGAAGAAAAGTGGGCGAAAAGATAACTGGCATTGGCAAGGGCTGAACCTGCGACCTTAGAATACCGTAATTACTCGAATCTAACGCGCACCTTTTTTCCGGTTAAGCTAGTTCATAAATCGCATGCGCGTTATAATCAAGTACGAAAAAAAAAGAATACGGTCATTCTATTGCCATCGGCATTTCCAAAATGGCCGCCCCCTACGTGCCGCCCGTGCGTCGGCATGGCGTGTCGGCCATTTCCGCCTATGTGTTTCCCATGTGCGACACTTTGTACGTGTGCTGAGGAGTTCGTCATCTTCTAGTGTATTAGCATCGACGGCATGGAAGGGCCGACTCCAAAAACTCGAGTGCACCACGATGCCGCTTTTAAAAGAAAAGTCATCACGTGTGCAGAAACGAACGGAAATCGGGCCGCATCGCGGTCGTTCAGAGTTCCCGAAACGTGCGTGCAGGACTGACGGAAACAAAAGCAGAAGATTGTGGACAGTAAAGCTTCACGCAAAGGCTTCAGTGGACCACAGCAAGGTCGGTTTCCGCAAATTGAAGAGCTGCTCGGCGAGTATGCGCTTGAGCAGCGAGCGGCACAGCGGCCCGTGACGACAGAACTGCTCCAAGGGCGGGTTATGCAGTTAGCCTTAGAAAAAGGGCTAATTCTGAGCCAGTTTAAAGCGAGCAGGTGCTGGCTAACTAACTTTATGAAGAGGAAAGGCTTTTCCCTCTGAAGGCGAACGGGCATATGCGAAAAGTTTCCGGAGGAGTACGATGAAAAGCCTCACAGTTTTCGGAGGTTCGTCCTAAACTTGCTGCACAACAACGACCACCTGCTTGGGCAAATCGGGAATGCCGATCAGACGCCTCTTTACTTCGACATGCCTGGCATCACAACCGTCGAGAAGAAGGGGGCAAAGCAAGTTCGCGTGCTGACATCGGTCCACGGTAAAACTACAGTGACGGCAATGCTCTGTTACACGTCAGATGGGCACAAGCTTCGCCCGTACCTCATACTTAAATGGAAGACGCTCCCGAAAGGAGTCGTTTTTTCGAGTGGTGTGATCGTGCGGGCCAGCGAGAAAAATGTGTGCGCGTTGCAATCGATGTCTTACATTTTTTTTTTTTTTCGTCGTGGAAATCGGGTGCGCGTTACAATCGAGGGTGTGGTAGAATCGAGTAAATACGGTAACGCTCCGATGCTCCACCAACTGAGCTATAGCGGCAGTCATCCCCTTGGCCGCTTTATGGGGTGTATACATAGATTGGCGAAAATTGTGGAGCTTACTGAGACTTGCTCATAAAACATATTTTGCATTTAAGGCTCACTTCAACTCAAACTCTCCAAAATTTTCCCGAGCCGGACACTTACTCAAGCTTTCACTGATGAAAATTTTCTTATACCGGACAACATATTACTGATCAAGACTCACTCAAACTCTTGGGTCAATCCTAGTCTGAGGAAGTCCAAGTAAGTCGACTCATAGGTCCAATAGCCTAGAATTGTTTTTTTTTCGACCATGGTGTCAATGTTCTTGAACCCGAAGTGTCTCGTGTAATCGGTGCTCTTCTAGGCGCTTTTAATATAGTACCTCCGAGCAAGGGTCATGAGTACTTTCAAATCATTAACAACATTTTTCTTGAGAAAGATAACCACAAAATATATTTATCAAGATAGCCCTGGAAGAGTAGGCGGCTGGGAGGTCGAGGAACCGCCTGCGTAATTCACGCCTCTGGTCAATTTTGAAACTGTGTATGAACGATACTGCTTCAGTATGTGTGAGTAGAAGAGGGAATTCAGATAAGGCTGATAGTATTTGTTAAGATGAGTAGATAGGACACTAGATCGGTAAAAGATGGAATTCACTCATACTCAACGAAATTTTTCTGAGGTGGACTCGCTCGGAACTTGCACTCAGGAAAATTCGCTTCAAGCGGACTCATTCCACTCGCACTCACTGAGCCATTACGTACCTGGGCTTACTCAAAGTCTATTCTTGAGTGAGTTCACCAACTTATAGGTATATATGGGCTTTTAAACCTGAGAGTGTTAGTCAGTGCCACTAGTAGCCGTGACAGCGAGTGTGACACACTGCTTTACTGACTTTTGGCATCGCCTAGCGTGTGATGTTATCAAAAGCTGGCCGATGACCAATAATCCCTTGCATACTGCTTGACGGTATCAAGCTTTGACATAACGAGACTCTCGCTGTGAATGAAGGGAAGCAGTGTAAATATTAGGGATCATTTTTATTTGTTAGACGCAATTTTAATGAGAACTGAACCGACAGTGATGCTAAGGAAAGTATAGATGTTACCAGGAGTAATTGTAATGTGAAGAAAGAAAAGTGAACAAAAAGACGACTTGCCGCAGGCAGGGATGAATGCACATTGGAGCTGAGGACTTTATAACAGCACAGCGGCTTTCTCTCCTCTTCCTTTTATCCCTTTGAAGTTTCGGTAGGTAGAAAGCAGCCCTCTTGTCAATGTATTAGATCCAGCAGCCATGTTTAACAATTTCTCAACACTTATAGAATAATAGAGCTTTAGCTTTTGTCTGTACTTGTATGAGTAATCAGAGCGTTTCTTTTTGTTTCGCAGCATTCGCAATGGATCAGGACATCCCGGACTACGACATGGACTCTGAGGACGAAAAATGGCTCACACAGCAGGCAAAAAAGATGGAAATCAACCCGCTACAGTTTGAAGAGATGATGGACCGGCTAGAAAAGGGCAGTGGGCAGCAGGTTGGTGACCAAGCATATTTTTCTACAAATGTGTTGCTGTAGCTTGGTTACGCAGCTGTGTCGCACTTATACGCTGCGACTACCGCCACCACTCCTGCCAATGTGGCTTTGCCCACTGTGAAGAACCAGCAGTTGCCATTTGCTCTTCACGATGGTGAATACGCAAGTTTCGAAGGACACATTCTCTGTGCCAGTGTTTGTTTTCTTTTTCTCTTCTCTATCTTCTCTTCTGTGTTCAGAAGGGGTTGTAACGCGACATTATTCACCCCTCCACATCAGAATGCTTAAGTAAGCGAGTTTTAGTATGGAGCTCATACTCATGGTTTGATCCCTGATTGGTGCACTTAGTAGGTACATCACATCTTGTTTGGGGTCTTTGTATGTAATGCGGTGTGTTCCTTTCATTTATTAATAAAGTTGTTTGAAGTGAAATTCTCAGCATACGTGAGGCCTCGTGCATTAAATCGATAAACACAAATGGAACACTGTGAGAAGACAAAGTACTGCCCTCATCACCTTTTTCACTTCCCACCGTTCCTAGAATAACAGCAAAAGTTATTGATGTTCCATCACTGGAAATAGAAAACAAAAGGCACCCGCATGTTCCTATCGGAGGAACTCAAGTAAGTGCGTTGCAAAGTGGTAGGGCTGTCACGTGAATCTTGTGTAATTGGGTAGGGTCTAGGAATGCTTAATTGTTATTTTGTCTTTATTATTAATATTTGCTGAATGAAGGAGAAGTGTTGCCTTGATCGAATGGAGGGACGTTGATGTTGGGTTATACCCGACTATTGGTTGAAGGTACTGTTGCTTCCATTGCATCTACGCGAGTCAAGGAAAGCATCAAATCAAGCGAAAGCCAAGTAAAGACTCCATTGACTGAATTCACTGTGCGCGATCCAGTGCTTAAAAATACGGGGTGGACAGTGAATAGTTGTGCAGCGTGAGCAATCGTTTCTTTTTTTTACTAGCAGACGCTGCCTGTGCAGCCTTGTGAGGCGAGAGAGGGGGAGGGGAGCGAAAGTTTGCACGAGATGCGAGCATGCGCAGTGGGGGTGTGAACGGCGCTGCCGCCACCGGATCTGCTACGTGGTCCAGCTAAAAAATGCTCCACCTTAAAAAAAAAAAAAACTCTGAAAGATATTTCCACAATCAGGACCTTGAAGCATAAACTTGGGTTTTTTTGTTGTTATTGTACATTCCACAGTGTACAGGTTATGCATGGAAAAATATTCTGTTTCATTTCTATCCCGTATCCGCCAAGAGCAATTCATAATTGGTCAAAATGTACTGCAGCCGCACTCACTGGAGTTGTTTGTTGCAGGATGTAACGAAAATTGCTGAGACACCCCATTGCATTCGTATGCAAAACAAAAGCTTTTATTGTAAGAGCTGAAGAGTGGCTTGTTTCGAATGGAATTGGAGGTGGCTGCCTGTCAATGGCTCAACCACTGGGCACTTCTTAGTGGGTGGCAAGAGAGAGCTTATTTTGATCATTTTATTTAATCTATTGCGGGAAAAGCTGGCACGAGACTCTATGCAATGCACAAGAAAGCAGGTGCAAGGCGGGGCTGCATGTGGGCGCACAATAAACGAGAACGAACTGTTCAACCAGGGCAACAGGGGTGTCGGTCTCTTTTCTGTCTAAACATATTAGTGCTGGAAATCCGGGAGAATGCCAACATCTTGCACACCAATACATTCCAAGGATGGACTTGCTACGCAAACATCGAGGCGTCCTTCGCAGTGCCACTACCGAACTCCTGTCCAAAACCAGCTAGATCCTCGTGCAAGATACATTACCGTCTACCGCCAATTTGCAGAAAATCATTCACGGGCGTCGTGACAAAGATTCAGCTTTGCCAAACGGGATAAACAGATTACCGATGCCCTCGACGGCGTAGATTTGCCAGAATTTGACAATGAAGAAATTGTGAGGGCTCTAAAACTACCATGAGAAGATCGTGAAGGTCATCAGCAGGCTTTGATCCGCAATGAACGCGTGTGCATCAGTTAGCTTTACCGTCCTCAAAGCCGACCAACCGGGGCACGCTGGTAGGAGCGACAAATCCAGCAACTTCGTGGGAGCTGCCTGCTTCAACACCACCGGCCAAACCATTGTTGATCGCAGTAGGACATAAGCGCCAAGCTTGAGAGCCCCTCTGCCGAAGCTTCAAATGCCCATCCCTTCTACGGCGAGAACCGTGAGTGGCACGGGTTCTGGGAGCATGATGAGGCGACCCTCTACACGCACCCCTATATCACTGGTTTGGAAAAGTTCAATTACTTAAAGACAAACCTAGCCAGTGCTACGAAGCGGGCCATTGAAGGGATATGCCTGACAGAAGCGAACTACAATGTCACCGTCAAGGTGCTCACCAAAAGGTTTGGCCAAAACGATCTCCTCATCGGTGACCACATTGACAGCCTCCTCTTCATCGAGCTAATCAAGACATCTTTGCAAGTATCAGGACTATGGCACCTGTACAAGCTAATACAGTCCCGGACAAGCTGTTTGGAGACCGTTAGTATGTCGTCTTAAGAGTACACTGTTGTTTTGCACCAGGTGCTGATGTCCTCATTGCCAGAAGACCTGGCAATCCAGTATTGAAAGTGCACGAAAACAGACGCCGCGCACTCTGAAGTACAATCAAGAGACAACTAAGTTTAGGCAATCTTGAGGTTCTTTCAAGTGGAAGTCGAAAGCAGAGAGGAGTCACGCAAGCAACCCGCTGCAGGGAAACTGTCAACGAACCGTGATACTGCAAACACCATGACGCCGCATCATCTTCCACCCACACTAGCACCAAAACCATGTTCATCATCGCCAGGTGCCAATTAAAGACCTTAAGAGACTACGTGTTCACTCTGCGGCATCTCAAGATACTTGTTGCATGATGACCAAGCCACGCCATCAGAGGAGGAAGGACGCGGCGGACGTTCATGGAGGCAGGACATCTTTGGGACGAGCCTCCTCCACCTGATGTCCAGAACTTGTGCAAGAGGTCTACATTAGAACTTGCCGCTCTGTCTGACTTCCGCATTGTCTTTTATTGACATCTCAAAACGATGAAGGCATGACAGCATCACTGCCCTGTGACGCAACCTTGGAAGGATATCGAAGATGCATGGGCACTGACAGGATCACAGCTCCTAATCGCAAAATGCGTCCAGGAGTACCAGGAAAATTTGGCAGCTGTTGGCCTGCCTCTATCATGCATGTCTCGCGAAGCGGTGTGAAGTGCAAGCAGCTTTTCCGAGCACCGAAAAGAAGGAAGACAGAATATTTGCTTTCTCTGCATTCCGCTCATCACTGCCAGGCACCGTCGTCGTCATACCTGTGCTTGCTTTTGTGACAAGAACAACGTGCCAGCGCTGCAAGCGAAACTCGATAGTATGGTCAACATGTTTTTTGGCAGGGATGGCATCGACATGCATTTCGAACTCACCTACCCAAACGTCTATGAGGTTCGGCACACTGCAAATTGGCATTGGCTGTGTCTACTGGAAACAACAAGTGACCACACTGCAACCCTGGAGGATATTGAATCTAAAGGTCCCTGGTTCGATCCCGGGTTTCAGCACCAATATGTTGATGCAGAGAAGAGACCAATTCCCGCGTTGCCATGGTTGAACACTTCGTTCTCTTTTATTGTGTGCTCACGTGCAACCCTGCCTTGTTCCCGCTGCTTTGCACATCTTGTGCGTTGCATGACTATACCTCAAATAAGTTGGAGACGTCCCTCAAAAGCTTAATTCTCACCAAACACCAATTGGCCGTCCAGCAGGCCCACGAAGCGGCTGCCAGGTATTCCCTGTCAGTACTTACGTAGGAGACGCCCGCTACGCGTGTCCTGCAGGACAAAAATAAAGTTTTTACATTCCATTACATAAGGGTGGTGAAGAAAAGTCGGGAAAAAGAAGCAGTGAAAAAATGCTGGTGCCCATGGTTTTTCATCACAGATACCTGTTGTCTTGTGTGGCATCGCGCAAGTGTCCCCCCAATCCCTTGTTTTTTCACCATGGTCTGATCATGAGTGCCTCAATGAAAGTGTCGAAAAGAGGGGTGCACTGCAGTGAAGCTTTAACTCTCTCATGAGAACTATGTGGCTGTAGGAATGACACTAATAGGGGGAATGTCGTGTGAGCAGTATTTCATTGTCAGTAATAAACAAGCCCACTCATACAAACTGTAATTAAAAGAATATTTCTTGCAAAAGCATTTTGAGAAGTGACCAAACCTTTTCCACCTTTCCCCTCATGTACAGTGTGACACTTTCTCATGTAGATAGGTCATTTGGTATGACTACCTAGGTAGTTAAATCAGGTTCAATGGCACAGGGATAACTGGAATTATTATCTTTGGTTGTGCAATTAGCTCCATCGTAGACTCGATCAAGGAAGAGGGGTATGTGACACCCTCCAAACTGGCTGCACTTCTAAGAGAGCCAAGGGCATTGATACCTTTTTAAAACACTCATTGGGTAACTACTGCAAGCACACTTGCTTGGTACCCACTAGGGCATTAATTTTACTCTTGGGTAGTAGGCTGGCATTGGCTATGCTATTTTTCGTCATTCTTCTGAGAAGCGTGGTATCCACTAAACACTTGCAACGGATTTTGTGCCAATTGTCCATGCTGTGGCTGACGATGATTAGGAATTATGGCTAAAGTGTGTAAGTGCCACAGTTAATAGGGAAACAAGAACAAACTTTTGTTATAAGTTGGAGAATTGGATGGCCCACTCATTACACTGTTCGCATTGTGCGACGACTGGTTGATCTTTCCCTGTTGTAAAACTCTTTATAAGTCGTATTAACGTGATTGCTTTTCCGACATCAAGCCTGCCTAAGGCAAGTTTAACAACAGTTTACAAGCACCGGCATAACTCAGTGATAGAATATTGGGCTGGCACCCAGCGGACCCAGGTTGAAGCCCCACTTAGTCATTTGTGCAAGGTTTTTTTTTTTTTTTTTTCTCATTTCGCGCGATGTGGTTA